GGCCGGGACGCCCCTCCCACCACGTCCGATGCACGAAGCGCCCTGACCGGAAGCGGACGGTGCCCCCGTCCTCTGTGGGCCCCCGTGTGGCTTCGCCGGCTCCCGCTTGCGTCTCCGAGCGTGTCCTTGCGTTCATCTGTCAGGCCGTGGTGCTCGCTTCCCCTCCTCTCTCTGCCCCAGAAGGCCAGCCTGCCGCCCCCGGGGCTCAGGACAGCAGCCTCTGGGAGCGGCGTGAGCGCTGTGACCTGCAGTCCCTGAGGGCTGCGGGCTGAGGCCAGGAAGGCCAGCGGCTGGCGAGCAGTGACCTCCCTTTTTACTCCGTGTCACCCAGCTTGCTGTCGCCATGGCTGAAGCACAGTTTTCCTGCGGCCTAGCTGGCCTGCGGTGTGACAGGACAGAGTCCCAGGGACACTGGCTGCTCTGCCGGACGACCAGGGAGGGGTGGACGGGGCATGTCTGAGGCCAGGTCTCCTGGCACCTGGAGACAACCTGGGCAGGATGACTGTAAATATCTCAGCTCCACGTTATTTATAGAATATGTACAGCTGCGTGAATGTGAAATAAAGTCCTAATTCCCTCAGACTCCCTGGCTGCCTTGCACTCAGCCACACCTCCTCAGCCCAGGCCTAAGAGTGCTCCTCTGCTTGAAGGAAGAGGGAGGCGAGGTCATCCCCATCCAGGCTCCGCAGGCTGGGCCCGGTGCCCACCTCCTCCGCCTCCTGCCTCCCTCCCTGGCAGGATCCTGGCCCCAGCCTAGGGCCTGGGTGCTGTGAACTGGCCGCTAGAGGGAGCAGCTGAGCCGGGCCTTGACCCCTGAGCAGGTTAATTTAGCAGTGACTGAAAACCAAGGTCCTGGGCCACCGGTTCCATTTATATGGGCTTATATGTTCCAGAGAGGTGACATGAGGGGGCCCAGAGCACCGGGCTCAGCCAGCAGTGCTCTGATGCTGAGTACAGCTCCAAGCAGCAGTCTTGAGATTCCGAGCCCCAGGAAGAGCTGGTCCTCCAGGGGCCGCCCACCCGCCAGTCAGGCACTGCGAGTAGAAAGAAACTGACACCTCTCACTGTGCCGGTTCCGAGTCCGGCTGGACAGCGTGGCGCTCCTCTGTGAGAGGCACGGGGGTCATTCACTGTGACCCTGGGCCTGGGAGAGAGTGTGAGCTGGGGGTTCCTGGTGGTATCGGGACTACTGTCCCCCCACGGCTCCATGGGCTGTGTCTGAACAGTGAACACGGGACAGGGCCTTGCTAGCAGGATGTGTAGCGGAAGCCGGGGTCCATCTGGGCCTGGTGGGTCCTCTGGGAAACAGAAGCCTGGCTGAGACCCAGTCACGCCCTCATGCCTGTGTGTGAAACAAGCTCCCAGACGAGTCCATTCTGCAGAGGTCCTTTATTACTGCGACACAGATGTGTGGCCCATCCCCAACCACCTGTTCCCAGGCCCACTCGGGCAGCGGCGAAGGTCCTTCTGCAGAGTCCCAGGACACCAGGGTGGCAGGAAGACGGCCCCTCCAGGCTCCCGGAGCACGGGACGCATCTGCCGATACCTGGGACACAGGCGTCTTTGAGAGCGAGAGCGAGCCAGGGCTCGGCATGTACAGCAGCCCAGGGGCAGTGGGGACTGGAATACATACTGGGCCACTCAGGATGCCAGCTGGTCACTGAGGCACTGCAGGAGAGGGGCCGTGGCACACATGTCCTCCTGGCCTCCCGGAAGCAAGACCAGTCCCCATCCCAGAAGCCAGTGCCACCCGACACCAGGATGGCAGAGCCAAGCCTGGCCCCCGTGGCCCCGCGGACTCCGCCCGGCCCTGGCCAGCAGGCTCACCTCGCACCTCCAGGCGGCACTCACACTGCGCCTCGCCCTGCAGGTTGGTGGCCCTGCAGACGTACACACCCCCATCGAAGGGGCAAGGCTTCCTAATCTCCAAGGTCAACACGCCCTGCTTGCTGAACATTCGGAAGCGGGCGTCTTCCTGCAGGTCCAGGCCGTTCTTGAACCAGGAAATCTTGGGCTGTGGACCAGGTAAAGGGAGGGAGGGGGCACCTCAGGTAAGGGCACCTGGCCAGCGCCCAGGGAGACTGGTCTTCATGCGTCTGCTCAGCTGCCCAAGGCTGGGCACGCACAACCAGCAAGAGTGCCCAGGCCTTGGCAGGACCGGCGTCCCTACCTTGGGGCTGCCCCGGACAGCACAGCAGAGGACAGTGGTGTAGCCCGCGATGACCGAGCGGTTTGCCAGGGGCTGGGTGAAGCTCGGGGCCTCAGAGAAGTCCAGGGCCTTGTATGTGGGTGGCTCATAGGTGATGCCTGTGAGTGACAGGACTGGGTACCGAGGGCCACCCCACACCAGCCTCTGCCCCCTGCACCGCTTCCCGGCATGGAAGAGGGTGTGGCACCTGGTTTGGGGATGAAGACAGGCTCCTTGGTGGCAGCCGCCCGGGCACTGGGCCCCACCATGTTGTGGCTAAAGACCCGGAAGTAGTAGCCATTGCCCACGACGAGCTCAGACACCACGCACTGGGTGCGGCGGTAATGCTCCAGAACGGTGAACCACTCCTGGGGGCGGGCAAGTGGTCTCGGTCCCCTGTGCCCGCCTGTGGGGACTGCAGAGGCGGGTGGCCTGTGGGGCTGGGCGGGGCGCGGGGCGCAGGGTCCCAGCTCACCATGGTCTTCCGGTCGGCTTTCTGCACCGAGTAGCCCCAGAGCTCGGAGTTGCCATCGTCTTCCGGGGGCTTCCACTCCAGGGCCACGTTGAGCCCCCAGGTTTCGGTGACCCGGAGATCCTGGGGAGGACTCGGCGTGTCTGCGGAGATAGCGCCGGTGGATCCCTAGCCCTCCCAGGGCAAGAGTCGGAGACAGACGGCCGCCCTGCGCCCCGGGCCACGCACCCACGACCTGCAGCAGCAGCGCCGCGGAGTCCTCCATGTTCTCGATGCGCACGGTCACCTGGTAGCTGCCCGAGTGCGCGCGGCGGGCAGCCCGGATGAACAGGATGGTGTCCGAGGGGCTGTTGCGGATGCTCACGTCCCTATCGCCCAGCGGCTGCTCCTCTTTGGTCCAGGTCACCTGAGGCCGGGGCTTCCCCTGGGGGTGGAGGGACACTCAGCCCGGAGCCTGGGAGGGAGCCCCGCCAGCTGGGCGCCACCTACCTGGAAGGGAATGAGGAGGTTCACGGGCTCCCCGACCTTCCGCTGGATGGTCTGGCGCAGGTGCCGCGGCAGCTGGAGTCGCGGCCGCTCTGCGGGA